TTTCTTTCAGTCTATTTCTTTTTCATGAGAAGTTGGTATTTTTCCTCCTTTATTCATATATGGAAAGAAAGATGGTTATTAATTTATTACTTAAGAGGTCCACAACTCATTTAATTTACTATTTATTTATATTTATTTATTTATCTATTTATTTATTTATTCATTTATTTTATATGTATCAGTGTTTGGCCTGCATATGTGTAAGTGCACCTGTAATATGCAATGCCTGTGGAAGCCAGATCTCCCCAGAACTGGAGTTATGGATAGTTGTTAGCCACCATGTAGGTGTAGGGAATCAAATCCTTCCCATGAGCCAGAGTTGTGGTTCCCTCCCAAGACATGGAGCTTTTATGCCTCCCACCCGGAATCTGGGGTAGTGATTAGTGATGCCCTCCAGCATACCTTGAAGCTGTGGTCCCCTCCTTTCAACTGAAACTGAGAACACCAGCCTCCTGTTAACCTGGAGCTGTGGTCTCCTCCTGTGAACGGGAAGTCATTGTCCCCTTCTGTGAACCTAAAGCTGGGCTTCCCTCTGTGAGCTAGGATTGTGGTCCTGCACATGAATTTAGAGCTGTGGCTTCCTCCTGTGAACCTGGAACTTTGGTTCCCTCCCCTGATTATGGAGCTGTGAGCCAGAACCAGAGTTCTGGTCCCTTTCCCTGAAACTGGAGTCCTGGTGCCTTTCTCTGAACCCAGAGCTGTGGTCCTCTCTGGTGAACCTGAAGCTGAGGTCCTCTCCTGTGAGCTTCAGTTGTGACATCTCATATGAATTTAGACGTGTGGTTGCCTCTCACAGACTGGAGCTGTGGTCCCCTCTCATGCGCCAGAGTTCTGATCACCTCCGGGAAGCTGGATCTGTGCTCCCTTCCTATGAACCTGCTGACCAGCAGTTTCAGTCTTTTTGAGTGACTACAACCCCCAAAGCCCCTCTTCTGAGGTCCCAGATTTTGCATAGCAGAAGCTTTGCTTCTATGCTGGGTATAGTGAGGGATTTGCTCTGACTTTTGCAGATTTTGATCTTGGGAGGACTGATTCTTTAGAATGTACCTCCCATCTCCTCTGAGGGCTGGATATGATCTGCATCCCACACATGGTCCAGGGTAGTCAGGCCTTGATGTTGGGTCTCTCCCATTTTCCATTATTTTTCTATTACTCTTCTACAGCCCCAATATGCATTCACCTATGCGTCTCCATAGCAAATCCAGGCCAGCTGTGGCTACCGGGAGACCCTGGGAAAAAAAAAAAAAAAAGAAAAAGAAATAGAAAATATTGTAATAAATGAACTGAAAATTCTCAACCTAAAAATATGTAATTATATCTTAGAAAAAAGTATTGAAAAATTTTAGCGTAATCCAGTTTTATTCTTTATGAAGAAGGTCACAGAAAAAAATATGGCATTACAACTTTAAATCATAAGTTGAAACAGAATTGAAAATTTTTATATTTTTAAATTACAACTTATATACCACCAATAATGGATGTTTTGAAAATACAGAACAAGCAACAGGAAAGTTCTTGTAGCCTTACAATCCATGGGAACCAAGGCTAATCATTTCCTTTTTTCTAACTTACAGTATTAAGGTTTTCATAGTTCCAGTCTATATTATCTGCCATTGTGGTTTTTATGTTTAATATATTTCATTATCATTTTTTCCATAGAGATCCAAAGGTCACAAATCTGATTAGTGTCAATCACTTTTATATAAGTTATCTTGCATTTATCATTGAGCTATGGTAATCTCCAGCGAGTAACTTTATGATTACTAATTTTCATAATTGAAATTACTCTTTTTGTAACTAAAAATATACAATTAAAATGTGTAAACTTTAAAGGATGCCATTTTATTTTCATAGAGGATGTGTTTCTGCTGGAAACTGACAATCCAAGGACAACTCTAGTGTATGGCATTTTTACCACATCAAGGTAATTGTTAAACAGTTACTATTCATGAGTTAAACAAGAAACAGTCTTATTTTATTTACTTTTGCCAGATTCCTTAAATGTATTTGAGCTGAGCCAATGCTTTCAAAATAGTTTACTAAGAGTATCTCTCGTGACTGCACATTATTTTCTCAAAGACCTGGAAAAAGAATTAAAATGGGAAGTAAAATATGTAAGGTATTTTGTTTAACGAAATATTTCAACACTATTGGCTTAAATAATATCTTTAGAATTTTTAGTTGTTGCAGGTGATGAGTGTATTTATTTACTGGATTGTGGCAGTGGTAGCACAAGTATACACATATGCACAAATTCATGAAATTGCATATATTTATTTGTATTATGTGAAGTTTTTATACCAAATATTGACTAGTAAAGTTAAAAAAGCTTTGATTTCTATCAAAATAGCTTTCATTTCATCATCAAAATAAATTACTAACTCTTTAGAAACTACAAAACATGATCCAGTTCTTCTATTCTGCAATATGACAATATTCTATGTATTTCAAGACAGGTTAGTATTTTTGGGTTTGTCTGGGATGGCCAATAGCAGCTATTATATTCACAACAATTCTCCATATACAGAGAGTCCTGTGCATGCATCTGCTGATTAATCTTGTACTAGGAGCGTTGATTTTGAATTCAGCCTACAACTACATCTATGTCTTCTTGGCCAATATGTAAGACATGTTGGTGCCTTCATCAGAAACTGTAGGCACAAATTGAAAGCATTCATTTTAAAGTGATTCGAAATATGATAGAGGAATATGGGGACATGGCTCAGTGGGTAAGAGCTCTTGTTTTGCAAGCATGAGGACCAGATTGAAAATGCCCAGTACCCATTTTCAAAGCTAGCCATGGCAATGTGCCTGTAGTTCCTGTGTTGGAATGTGAAGAGGGGCAGGGACTGTGAGTTCAGCCAGCCAGTTTTAAGAAAAATACCAAATTTCAAGTTCAGTGAAACACCCTGCATCAAAAGAATAAGGTAGATAATTGTAGAGGAAAAGACCTGATACACATATATAGAAAATGCATCTGCACACAAGTGCACACACACAAACACATACATGAAGAAGAAAAGAAAATGCAGTACAACTGCAATGAGCTATTCAAAATAAATGAAATAGCAGAAATACTCATTGTCAGCTGTTTATGTTCAATTTGGAAGCCAAAAATGTTCTTCAGGCTTTGCTTGACTATGGTTCTAGCAAAAGTGTACTCTCACTTTTGCTCACAAACAAATCTTTAATAAAATATTGAATTTAGTAAAATATTTTCCTTGTTTTTGTTTGTCCAAAAATAATAGCTTGAACAGTCAACATTTAGAAATTATAATTTATAAGTATTCATCATAAGGACGAATAATAGATATTTTTATTTTCATAATATTGCAAAAAGTTTTCTATCAGGCATCTAGTTTGAAATAAATATGAACCTGAATACACTGTTTTCAATCAATATCAATTAGGAATATTGTAAATAATTTATATTAAGCATTAAAGCAAAATTATGTCTTATTGAGTAAAGATAGTTTAGTGAAATGTTTCTGTATATTCTTGTGTATGTGTGTGTATGTGTGTGTGTGAATGCCTGCATGAATGCTGTGTGTATAAATCTGTGTGTGCTTATGAACATGCATTCATAGTAAGTGGAGGTTCATGTGTGTTTAGCTTTGCATATAAGGTCGTGTGTGTGTATGTTTGTGTGTGTGTGTGTGTGTGTGTTTATGAAAGCCTGCAAAAATGCTGTGTGTATAAATAAACTGTGTGTACTTATAAACCTGTGTTCAAGGTGTGTGGAAGTTCATGTGTGTTTAGCTTTGCATACATGTGTGTGTGTGTGTGTGTGTGTGTGTGTGTGTCTGTGTCTGTGTCTGTGTCTGTGTCTGTATCTGTGTAGACCAGAGAACAGACAACCTCAGGTGTCATTCCTCATAAGTCATTCGCCTTTCTTTTTGAAACAGGATTTCTCACTGGCCTGGAGCTCACCAAGCAGCGTGGGCTTACTGGCCAGGGAGCCCCAAGGATTCACCTGTTTCTTCTTCCCCTGCACTGGGATTATAAGTGTACTTTACAAACCCAGTTTATTTTGCATGGATTTTGGAGACTGAATTCAGATCCTCATGCTTGCAAGGCAAGCACTTCACTGAGTTGTTGCCTTCTCCCACGATCCTCCTTTATGGTGTAATTGACATGGAAAGTGAACAGGCATCACTCATATCTTAGACCTCTCCAACTGCTACAAACATAAATATATAAGAACACTAAGATTATGCTAATCTTACTGTAAAACACACAATGTTCTCATACTAATGGGAATTATTTAAGTCAAATAATTATAGGTCTCTTCATGGTTGTTTAGAAATCTAATTCATATTTTTAAATAAATTCAGTACATTTTTTGTTGCTGCTAAAATAAACTTATTAAAAAGTTTAGTTTATTGTCTTTAGGCCAGGTGTGATGGCTCATGCCTTTAATACCTGCACTCAGGAGGCAGAATCAGGTGGCCCTCTGTGAGTTCAAGGCTAGCCTGGTCTACATATTGAGTTCCAGGCCAGCCAGGGTACAGTAAGACTTTGTCTCAAAAATAACATATTTTCTTAATTTTTTGAAGTGTTAGAAACTCTTGCATACCTCATAAATGTGTATGCCATTGTTGAATTAACTGAATATTGTAATGCTTTATGTATTGATGAATTCCTTATAAATAACAGAAAATTGTTAGTTCTCTCTATGTATAAAAATGTAACTTTTCCATGATGTATATCAATTTTTATCAAAATATTGCCATGTATTTTGGTAGTGTAAGTAATGTGTGTGTGTGTATGTGTGTGTGTGTGTGTGTGTGTGTGTGTATGTACACATGACATAGTGTTAAGGTCAAAGGACAGCTTCTAAGAATTGGTTCTCTCTCTCCATCCTTTGGTCCTGAGAATTAAACTCAGGTCGTTAGACTTAACAGCAGGCACCTTTGTTCTCTGAGCAATTTACCAATCCAAGTGTAATATATTTTAATATTAATAAAGCAGATTCTTTGTGGGTTTTTTTTTCAGCTCTGTTTTTAAAGGGTCTGCAGTGTGTGTGTACCATTTATCTGATATACAGACTGTTTTTAATGGACCTTTTGCCCACAAAGAAGGACCCAATCACCAGCTGATTTCCTATCAGGGTAGAATTCCATACCCTCGCCCTGGAACTGTAAGTACCCAGGAAAGTTTCCTTCTTATCAGACTTTAACAAGAATCAAATTTACATATGTGTTCCAACTGTTATCTTCTTTATAATTGTATATATTCTATCTTGAGCATTTACTAGTTCACGATTTTGCTAATATATCATGTGATTTAGAAGGTGTTATTTCTTACAGTGGCTACCAAAATCTCATTTAGAGTCAAAAACAACTAAGTAAGTTAAATGTGGTGGAGATATTTTTCTAACTATAAAGCAATCACTTTGAAAGTTTCAATAGAAGCCTAAGTATTTTAATGCTCATTGATATTTTTAAGACTTCTTTATATTAGGGAATCTCATCTGTTTTAATGATGATATAACCATATGAATGTTAACATAGAGATGACTCTTGATTTTTTAATTTAAAATATTTATGGTTTTGTATATTTTTATTGAATTTTTGTGTATTTCATACAAACATACTCCCCATCCATACTTCCCATGTGATTTTTATCCATTCATTTTTGGTAAAGCCTATAGAGTCAAGTAAGTGTACCCAGATGGCCCTCAGCACAAATTCATCCACGGGGGTCTCTCATCAGCCTATCTAGAGTCACTTCCTTAAAGAGGTTTGACTCTCCCTAACCTAGCAGTAACCAACTGCCAGTAGCTATTTGGAGCCTGCTGTTCATTTCCCCAGTTCTATGCTGGGTTTTTGTCTGCTTAGGTTTGCATGGGTACTGTATATGCTAACACCATTGCTGTCGGTTCATATGAGCTAGATTTTAGGAAACTGTAAGATTCTGTTTCCACGTGGTTATGCACCTCCTCCCCTGACTCTTACTTTTCCACTCCCTCTTCTCCAATGGTCCCTGAGGCCTGGGTAGGTGAAGTTTAATGTTGGAGTGCTGTCCATATACCCACATTCTGCAGAAAATTATTACTTATGCTTTGGCCATTTGTGGCCCTTTGTATTCATTGCCCTCTGTTGCATGAAAGAGCTCATTGAGGTGAGTTGAGAAATGCATTAGTATTCTCTCTACCCCTTGTTCTACTATATTTCATGACCCTTAGATCTAGAAGTTCCATTGTAGATGTGTCACTTAGGATTGAGCAGACACTTATTCCCTATGTTTAACTAGTTGTTGAACTCCATAATAGAGTCTGTCGGTTGCAAAAGAAACTTCTTTGATGAGTGGTGACTGGCACACTTGATTGTAAATATAAGGATCCATATTTAGTACATAGTAAGAAACTACATTTTTCTTGGGATGTGAAGCCTTAGTGTTTTCTCTAAGATCTATGATCTTTCCAACCTTATAAATAAGCAGTGGTGGATTGAAGAAATCAGAAAAGAAATTTTAAAAATCTAGAGTCAGCCAGGCGTGGTGGTGCATGCTTGTAGTCCCAGCACTTGGGAGGCAGAGGCAAGCAGATCTCTGTGAGTTCAAACCAGCCTGGTCTACATAGTGAGTTCCAGGACAGCTGGGGCTACAGGGAGACACTGCTTCAAAAAGACAAACAAACAAACAAAAATCTAGAATCAAATGAAGATAAAAGCACTTCTTACCCAGCCTATGGGATAGAGCTGAGTTCCAAGACAAAAGGTTATAGACATGAATGTTTTCATTAAAAAATCAAAAAGCATGCAATAAATAACCTCTCATGTGCTTAAAGGTCTTGTAAAAGTAAGGCCAGCCAAATCAAACTCAAAAGCAGTAGAATTTTTTTATTTAACAAACTGGAGATTTAAAGAATAATACATGCAATCAGTCAAACAAGGGTGCTTTCAAAGAATGTATGTGATTGACCAACTCCTAGCCAAACTAACTTTGAAAAAGAGATCTAAAATAATGAAATTAGAGAATGAAATGTGGATGTTACAGCAGATTTCTATGAAATCCAGAGGATCATAAGGGCTACATTTATATTCCCCCAAACTGAAAAATCTACAAGAACTTGTTAAATTACTTAATATACATGATCTTCCAGCGTTAAACCAAGAAAATATAAATAACTTCAACAGATACAGAACACACAAGGAGATTGAAGAGGTAATAAAACATCTCCTCACAAGCCAAGCCCAGGACCAGATGGATTCACTGTTGAATTCCACCAAACCTTTAAGGAAGAGCTAATAAGAAAATGCCTCAAACTGTTCCACAAAATAGAGAAAAAGGAACATTACCAAACTCATTTTACTAAATCAGTATTATACTGCTGCCCCTAACCTATTAAAGATACATCACGAACATAAAATATCCACTCATATAGGCCAATTTCTCTAATGAACACAGATACAGAAATTTTGTATAAAATTGTTACAAGTTGTATTGAAGATACTCTTCTTATAAAATATTTCCTTTTGCCATTTTACTTTACTTTCTTTAAAGGCAGTGTTTATTTTCTGAAAATTAAAAATACTTGTATTTGATTCCCTGGATAAGAGGCTCCAAGATTGATCCTTGATATGTGCTTTATACAGAACAATTATTTTTAGAGGTTTTGAAAAGATTATTGGAATTTCTGCTTATCCGTATAAACATTCCACTTAAATAGTTATAATTATGACACCTAACAACATGTCCCATTATAAAATCCACATTATCCTTTAATGTCTCCTTGAGGCTCCCGGCTTCAAATACAGTGGACAGATGTTGAATTATTTTGTACAACACAATGGAAAGAATGAGCAGAGAGAGCATCTTAGTGCACTTCAAACCTGAGAGTGGATAATAGGCAAGGACAGTACAAGAGAAGGAAGGAGGGAGAGGGAAGCTGAGCAATTCTCCAGTTCCATTGTGAATAAATGGCCCTAGTTACTTCATTCAAAGTATTCAACATATTCCCAGAAGACTCACTAATCATGTATTCAAGAGTAAGTCATATTTTTGTAAATGGCTTGAAGTTGACCAAATCACAGCTGCATCTTAATATAGTAAAGTAAAAAGGTGGTTGTGATTGTGTATACTTTTTTTGGTGAGTCTTTTGAAGAATATGTCTGTGGGAATAGTAGAGGAGCAACTGATTTACAAACTCAGTAAAATTACTTACCCTTATTCCAATAACTTCAAAGAAACTCCTCAGCTAAACAAACAAAAAAAAAAATTAAGAGTTCCAAGGTTGCAAAATTGGTGATGGAAGTCCCAAAGTCTTATGCAGAATATTCTCAGGCCAACTTGTTCCTGAGAACAGATTATGTATGTTATGTGTGCCATTTATTTCTCAAGAAGGACATCACAGTGATGACTTGAAAATAGCCATGGTAGGAGAATATTTACACTAGGCATTGGCTCCACCTACTTCTGACTTTTTACACATGTGGCAGCTTAAAAGTCTCCTTGACATATACACAGGGCTGTGAAAATCACAGTAGAAAACGACTCTGTCAAGAAATAATTATTGTGTACAATATGGGAAGAGTCCAACCCTTTTCCACAAATAAGCCAAAGTGAAATTAGAAAATTCTGCTAGCAGCTCCATTCTTCTTCCTAAGCTCTTAAGAATAAGCATTTTTCCTTGTTCTAAAGCATTGTGAAAAAAGCCAGGGATTAGTGAGACACATCTGGAACAGACTCTGTGCAAAAAGGGAGTAGTCAGTACTTAAGACATATTTCTATAATGTGGTTTCTTACATCTGGTATTGAGACCACAACAGCTCCTTTAAGTTCAGAAATTGTCAGATGAGTGAACCTTGGGCAATAAACAAGGCAGGGTAGAGAAACGACCTCTGGAACCCCTCCTGGAGAAGCATACTTCCCTGAAGATCTGGTCCTTCCACACTGAGCCCAGCAAAACAGCATGAAGTCAACTGTCTGACTCAGTGGCAAGTGGCTGCCGCAGCCTGGGCTTCCTACTCATATAGCCAGAGTATCTGCAGCCAAGTGACCCCAAACAGTCCCTCTCCTCTAGGTTTGAGAACTCTGCCTCAGAAGTCCTCCCAGTGAGGGATCAACTGTGATTGCCATACTTTATTTCCCCACACAGTAGTCTGGTTGCTGGGTCAACCCCATAAATACATAACTGTGTTCTTAAATAAACGACACTGGCAGAAATCCTATACCCTCATTCTAATATTCCCTCTAGGTGTTTCTTTCAAAGCAGGGTGGATAGCTGTGTTAGCAAACAGCCCAACCATCAAGCCTAAGTCAGAACAAGGAAGGCTGCCAATTGTGTCATAATGTTTTTCCATAAGTAATTCAAGTTTGTGGAAGAAACAAGACACCTTTGGTATGTTGCAAAGGGCAGCCAAGACTTTAGACTCTCTGTGGCTGAGCTAATGTATTACATTATTCTGTTGCAACGTGTGTAAAGCTTCTGCAGATTATTTCTGTATATACTACACATCCTGATGTAGCAGAACTAAATAAAATATTCAATTTTAACATCTATTTAGAAGTGTAGCAGAGCCATCTCCTTCAGTGTCCTAAGGAGAACAGCGTGTTATATATCTCAACCTCTGCTTCCTCTCTCAAAATTACTTCACTGACCCTAGCCATCTTATTTATACACTATTCCAAATCTGGTTATACGTGTGTGTGTGTGTGTGTGTGTGTGTGTGTGTGTGTGTGTGTGTGTGTGTGCAGAGACAGGTTTTGGGAGGGAGAGAGACAGAGAGACAAAGAGAAAGAGTACATGAAATAAGGGGGTGTGCATCTAGGGGAGGGAGTCTAAATATGATCAAAATGTTATATAAAATTCACAAAAAAATCAATAAAAAATATGGGGCACCTTTAAAACCCAATTTCCTCCACCTCAACTCAAATAAAACCTTGTCTTTGTAACAAATTCTGAGATAATGGAGGCTGTCTGAGTTCCAGGCTCCCTTCCACCTGGTCAGTGTGTGTGTGTGTGTGTGTGTGTGTGTGTGTTTGTGTGTGTACCAGAGCTCACGTGTGGTTATCAAATGACAATTTGCAGGAGTAGGCTCTCTCCTACCATGTGAGGCCTGGGGATAGAACTCAGATTGTCAGGCTTGGCTGCCAGTACCTTTACTTGATGAAACCCCTTGCTGGTCCTCTAAATTCATTTTTAAAATACTCGCTCTTCCATACATATGACAATGTTTCCTGAACCATGCTCTCTTATTTATATTTTACATTTGTCTCTAATTATTACTTTATATTCAAGAAAGATGTTCATCTCCTTTATCAGTGAGTGCACTTGTATGTAGACGGCAATGGTAATTTCCTATTCTGATGTTGCCTATTGGGCACATCAAAGTGGTATTTGAATTGAAAACATGTTCAAAGAAGGCACACATATATATTAGCTTGGAGATGAATTGATTTTGAAAACTTTCATCATAGATGTGAGGAAGAAGAAAACATTTGGGAGAACCAGAAGGCAGCAGGTGTTTGTGAACAGCTGAGTGCAGGACAGGACTTAGGCAGGGTTGGTCGGTAATTGTTAATGCTCTTTTTGTACAACACTCACTGTTTTTAGGACTTCAGATGGCAGTTTAGTATAGTCAAAATGTCTCACAAAGGGCTACTTACCACTGCATCATAAACAGAAAGATAGAACTAAAAAAAAATAAACATTTAAAGACTTTACCCAAAGTGACCAAATGACTATTTGCAGAGTAAAATTAACCTTCAGACTGAGGCTGTTTTATGATGGTACATAGAGCTCATGCTGTGTTGAGGTCTGAATATACACGCTTTACTAAGCCACAAGGTGAGGGAGCAGCTAGCACATCCTAACTGTCCTCATCAGTATTCACTGACGACACTCACTAGTGCAGACAATCGGTGAAGGCCAATCAACTATTTTTCTCCTTGCAAACATTTTTACCATTCTGTATGTCTCAGCAGCTAAGCTTGTGTCACAAATCAGGAGAATGTTTTGCTATCAGAAACAATTATTATTTTCTAAATTTGAAAATGATGCCATACATACTAGGAGACCTTTATTTCCAATGTACGAACGACAGAATTTTGAAAGGAGAGGCAGTTGAGTGGATGTAAAAAGTCATTGATTTGGGGTCGCTAGATGGCTCAAAAGAAAGAAGGGAAAACGAACTCCACAAAGTTGCCTTTCTGCCATCATCTGCCATGATACACACACGTTGTACACACATACCTATACATATACAGAACATTAATAAACAAAACGAAGTTTTTAAAAATTACTGTTTGATTTGGTTTGCTTGGGTTAGCTATTCAACAAGAGTGGCTTTAAGGAATTTTCATCAGGATTTCCCTTACCTTTCAGTAAAGTCAGAATCAGGTCACTGATCATTTACTTAAGTCATCAAGCACCAAATTATGAACTAGGAAGAAAATTGCTGAGTAGAAACATGCTAACTTTGAATCTTTCTGGAACTTACCATTGAGAATGCTTGCAAATAGTTAAGGAGATGTCTTAAAAACTAGCAGGCCATAATTAGTGGTGTTTTATGACTGTCTGGAGCTATTTAAATTGCCTATGAATTGTTCTTTCCATGCTTCCCTTCAGTGGGCAATATTTCGCCCTTTTTCCACTTTGTGTGAAGAATGAGGGCTGAGCAGACCCATAACCCCATGCTTTACAGGAGAATGGACCGCAGAGGTCAGCTTTGAACAACCTCCAATTAAATTCCTTGTCCTAATTTGGTCTTTGTTTTGAGAAATTTATAAACATGTATATTTAAATATAATGCCTTGCCATTCAATAAAAAACACAACCCCTGGATCATGGAATAACAAAGTAACAAGTGAGACACTGACTTTTATTTTTTGTCATTTTTTTTCTTGTCTCCTATTGTTTTTCTCCTAAAAGAATTTAGGAGAAAATATATACGATCTATCTATCTATCTATCTATCTATCTATCTATCTATCTATCATCTATCTATATCTATAAATTTAGACCAACAGTGCCCCAATTGGTCTAAGACTTGCATTCATGATGATAATGAGATTGTATTTGAATTCTGCTGGAAAGTTTATACAAATATTTGTCTGATTGTGCTGACTCAAACTCACTGATATCATTGGCTAGATGGAGCAAGAGTTCATTCCAAGGATGTCACATCATGTTTGATCTTTAAAGTTGTTTCTTTCATAACTGAATCAACAGTAAAGATTTGATAGGTTTCATACAAAATTCCCCATTTTTATATTTTCTTGAAATTTGAGTGCTAGGCTCATATTCCTGAAAGGAGCGATCAGTGGCAAGGGTCCATTGTCACCTTTGAATAAAGCCTAATTTTCTGGTAGGCTGAAGTTTTTATAACATTGTACTGTTTACCAATAATGCTATACTCATTGCTATTGAACAGCAACTTGCTTTGTGCCTTCCTTTTACATAGAATCCCTTTAAAGAATAAATGAAATCTAAAACTAGAGTACTGTGTTCAAAGAAAATATGGCGACCTGGTTTGTTGCCAGAAGTAGTCATATTGTGAAGTATTTGATAGAATTAGGCACATAGTACCTATATATGTCAAAATATTATATTCAGCAATGTGGCTCATACTCCTTACTGTCCAGCTGCTAAGGGTGAGTGATTCTGAGCTCCAAGATTCAGTGGTTCCATCTTGCCGTGAACTTTTGTCCTGGATATAAGAGGAACCTTCTTTAGAAATCTTGTCAGTCTCCCTCCCCAACTGTGAAAGCTGTCTAGCAGACTATTCTTCTGATCTCTTTACTGCTTTTAGTCTGACCCTGCGAACTTGAGGATCTGGACTCCCCTCTTCTAGACAGAGTGAGGTTTTCATTTCGTACAGTCTCTACACCAAAATTTCAGGCCATAATAAAGAATATAATCACTTACTCAACTACATTTCATCAAAAGTCTACTAGTGCCAGCTTTTATATGACAAAATAATGAGCAAAACAGACCCAGTTACTATCAAAATATAGTATACAATTTAGATGAGAAATACACAACACAGATGGAAGCAATTCATATGTAAATAAATGTTTCATAAGGGGCTATGAAAGAAAAATATGCTAAGGAGACAGAGATAGAGAGAGGAATCTATTTTTATATGTGTCATCATGTTGAAGGAAGTAACTTTCAAACTAAACTGAATGAGGTAACAGAGAAAGCCAAGAGGTAGGCTGGAGCAGAGGATGTCAGATGGTCAACTGTAGGTGCCAAGATCATGGAGGGGAATCTTGTCTGAAGTTTAGCAACAGCAGAGCCACAGTGGCAGGATTAGTCCAGACCAGTCAGGAGCTCTGAGCCTAACTCTAAACTGTTGGGATTTTACTTTAAAGCTAGTAGACAGATTGGGATTCTTTCCCAGAGAACAGTTACCATTACCACACCCAGCTAAGCTCCAACTTCAAGATATCTCTTGGGAGGGGAGATCAGATGGAATGAGACCCTTGCACATTAGAACATTAGAATTCTGGTTGGATTTTATATTGACCACCTAATTTATTTTAAGCAATCGCAGCATTCAATTGTTTTCACAGGTGTTTTGCCTGACAGTGTACTGTCTGCTATTAAACAGGAAACAGAAAAATAATAGAAAAATGAATGGCGAGAGCACACACACAATAGGGTTAACTTCTGTGAAAACCCTGGAAAAAAGATGATGCAGGTCATTCAATTATCAAATTATACACATTGTAAGTGAATTTTCTACAGATAATGGTCTATCTATATGATCAGGCTACTCATTTCTGTTCAATGGTTCTCCAAAATATTTAAAACAATTTTTCTGTGTTTTGAAAAAAAATGAAGAGGTCTTTAGCATATTATTAAAAAAAAAGGAACTGTTATATTAACTTATGGCTTTTGTTTATTTACTTTTTAGTGTCCAGGAGGGGCATTTACACCCAATATGCGAACTACCAAGGACTTTCCAGATGACGTTGTCACTTTTATTCGGAACCATCCTCTGATGTACAATTCCATCTACCCTATCCACAGAAGGCCTCTGATCGTCCGCATAGGCACAGACTACAAGTACATGAAGATAGCTGTGGACAGAGTAAATGCCGCCGATGGGAGATACCACGTCCTGTTTCTTGGAACAGGTAGGTGCTTGGCCTCAAACTGCACTGTAAAAGAGTATGCAGTAAATTAGGTAGTAGGTTACAACTATAATATTGAGGCTAGAAAAGACACCAGTGTTTTCTTTGCTTTAGCCTTTAGTGAAGCATTGAAGCATTTAATCTCTCTCTGCCTCAGTTTCCACATCTATAAATAGAGCTAATAAAATGAATTGTTTATGAAGTTGTGAGAAGCAAATCTGTTCACATATGCTGAGTATCTAAAAGAGTCCTCATACATATTAAAGTGATATATGAAAATACTGAGCTAAATTAAAGGCTGAGAGGAAGTTTTATGTGTGAGGATAAGCCTTTGAAGTGAAGCAAATTGTGTCTTCTTAATCGGTGTTTGGAATCACTTTCCATAGTGATTATGGGCGATAAGATATTCTCTGTAACACTGTCAGGTGAAGTTAACTCAAATATAGATGTATTTGGAAAATATTATGGTTGCTCTGGTAATACAGCCACTGATTCTAATTTTTTTGTTTATTTGCACTGATAATAAATGAAATGTCTCATTTGCGAAGACTTACCTTATTTGGAATGATGAGCCACAAACGTTTTGTGGCAGTGGTTCTCACAGTGTGGTCCTGTGACCAGCAAAATCAGTATCATTGAGACCTTGTCAGAAATACAAATGTCAGGGCCGTACTCCAGGAAAGCTAGTTATGAAATCCAGCCATCTGTACTTTAACAAGCTCTGCTGGTGCTTCTGCTGCACACTACAGTTTAGGAGTTACTAGAAATGTGAAAGGAACCAGCCTGCTGGGAAGACTGTAGTTACAAAGGTAGGTCTGTCCCTGCCTGACCTCACTGAGTGCAATGTTCCTCTGTATTGTTCAGGGGAGAGAATGTCACACACTATCTTGTAGGCAATGGCACAATCTCATCAGTTGTCTTAGTAGAAGAGCAGAATTACTCCATGAAGTATGGATGTGTATCTTCTAATTTAGGAAGCAGACATAAAAGATGCCTGTGAAAGCCATTATGAAGTATGGCCACGGCAGGATATGTATTCTCAGCTGAAGAATGGATTGCACTCAGATTTCACTCAACTTCAAAATGTGGTTACTTTTTCTTGGCTAAGTAAAATTTCCAGTCCGCTTTTCTTATAAAGTTCTTGATTTGTCCCTACATATCCTTATACTTAAAACACATATCTGAATCCCTCATTCTCATGTGATTTCAGTTTGAAATCCTGAAGGCAGAGAATCGTCCAAATTGTATTCTTTGGCATGCTTGGACCTATCTGAATTTCATTGGTCCCTCTTTGCTTGTCTGACATCTGAGGCATAAAACCCTTCCTTCCCAGTCTAACCATTCCTTATTTGACTTTCAAGTTTTATCCCTGCTCTCTTGCCATCTTTAGGAACGTTGTTGGCAATTACACTCTTAATCACTTAATTCTTTCATTTTATCCTACATCAGCTTTGAGTTCGAAACTTTCTACCAGGATATAAACCTTGTCATGAGTATTTTCCCACTGCCCACTCTACTTCGTTGCAATTTCAATGACTGTTTCTCTCTTCTAACTTTTACAATTCATCTCTCCTTTTTGCATCATATGACACATTGGAATCTCTTTTTGTTGGTTCACCCATATGTCACACAGTTTTGTTTTCCTCTGTTTATATACATGATACTTCTGGAGTTTTGTCCCATGATTTTTTTCTTATATATCCTTTGACCGCATCATTTATTTATTTGGTTTGAATGATCTGTCTTATGCAAACAATTCGAAATGTGTGTCATTAATATTTGGCAGCCCAATATTTGAATTTATGGCATACTGGTAGATAATACATTTTATATAACCCATTAACCTTTCACATACTGTGTTGGAAATTCAGTGGATCTTTGTCCAAGACTTTATCTAGCACTAAATACTTCCCCATATTGTACTCACTATTGCACATTCTTCCCCAACTTCTATCTTGCCTTAATTTATCAATTCTATACACACATACCACAAGTCATTATTAGCTCAGTAAGTATTTGTCAGGATAAATTTTAAAAGCATGACAGTATCTAACCTTATCCAAGTAATAAAATGAATTTATGCATGCCTATGGAGAGTTATCTTTACTTGTATACCAACTGTGTTCTCCTAGATGACTGCTAAGTTACTACAAAGAATTGTGTTTAAAACTCGGCTCAGCATATTCAAGGTGGAGTTTGCATCTAAAAAATTACTTTTGGGGTCTGTAGAGATGGCTCAGTGGTTAAGAACACTGGTTGTTCTTGCGGAAGACCTGGGTTCAAATCCCAACACCCACATGGAAGCTAACAACTCTCCATAACTCCAGTCCCAGGGGATCTGACAGCCTCTTCTGACCTCTGTGGACATTCCATGACATGGATGCACTTACCTACATGCAGCAATACACGCATACACATAAAATAAAAAAATAAATAAAATTTAAAAAAATATTTCTTGAAACAGTGTGGCAGTTTGGAGTCCCACCTTTCCAAATATCTCATATTACTTAGAAAAGGTTATTTTCTGATGGGTGTTTTTTTCTTTTGAAGCCCATCTAAAAGGTAGACTTATCTTCCACCGTGGGATTACTTTTTTCATGAAAATTTACATAATATATGTAGATTTCATGGATGGAAGTATTTTAAAACTGTTCAGCAATGTTTATTCAAACAAAAGATGGTAAGAAAACTAAGAAACATACTTTTGCACAAATTCCTTGGCTTCTCTTACCACATAAGTTTTTGGCACCTTCACATAGATTTTTCTGTTTGTATTTAAGCACTTGTGTCATTTGTAAATGGTATTTACACATATGCTTTTAATTGTAGTGAGAAGCTTCACTAATGATTGCTTACAAAGCCTCATGGACATCTTGAGAATCCTGTCCAAGTAGGAAAGTGCATGCTGTGGCAAGGCCTCTACCCACAACATTTGGTAGAAATCTGGTCCTCACTTAACCACTGATCCTTATTCATAGAACCCAACCATACTGTACTGCAATTGTTGATCATTTTTCCTAAGGTAACTGGAAATGAATCAACTAGTATATTGCTATAAAATCTTTCCTGATAAATATTCATTGAAGAAGAGTTTTCTGTGTGTGTGTCACTATTAGAGACTCATTTACCCTTTTTTTTTTTTTTTTTTTTTTGAAATGGTTCTTGAGAGAATCACTGGTTCTTGTCCTGGGCTTAATTAGATCTGCATATATACGTTGAAGAATATAAAATTTTTTGGATATTGACAAGTGTCTATGCATAAGAGAATATTTAAATTGTTATAAATAAATAATGTTGCCACAGTAATGGGCACAATGAAGAAAGCTGCTATCATGCTTTCCCTTCTCTGCCATCATGAAAGCTTCAGGGGAAATCAGGGAATACCAGTTGTTGAGAATGTTGCCACAGGGAAGACCAATGTGACAAATCATTAGGATGTGAGTAGGATATTATACAACTGTATCTAATGTGAATATTGTGAATGACAGTGTAGTTCACAGAATTCCTAGATTATTCCTAGGTTATCTCTGTGGGCAAAAAGGCCTGGTAACTATTATAATTAGCTCGTCATCATTATAGAGTATAACTGAATGTGAGATGCTGATAATCTCACTTTCCACCCTCATCATCAGAGTGTCTCATTTGAAACAATCTTTTATGTGCTATGAGGTGTCAATCAAACTAAACAAATGAAAGAAAGAGGGTAAAGAGAAAGGGGGGAAGGAGGAAAAAAGGAGGGATGTAGAAGAGGAGGCAAAATAGAAATCTTTAGCCAGTCAAGTATCTATTGATTTCCAGGTCTTTTATATAGAATGATTGCTGACCCTTATTTTGATAAATACAAAATTGTCATGAAGTTAATCTTAAAGAATCTGCTTTCTAGTACTTGCATGCTATATTGGTCTTAATAATGTGCTTAATAAGTATTTCTTCTTTTATAAAGTTCTATGTTGTTAAAATTTGACCTGGAGGCTGAGTACACATTTTGTTTTGAGGCTTACTCCTACTACTACCCCCTCTAAAAAAGCTCGTGGTTTTTAACATATATTAAATATTATATATACATATATATATATAATCAGTGATTTGCTTTGTTTAGTCATAATAAATTTCTTCTTTTTTAATCTTCAGTTGCATTGAAAAACAGCAGACTTAGCTTCTCATAGGATTAACGTTTCTTTTTTAACTTTGCCACCTACCACTTATATCCAGGCCATTGACTCAAAGCAGAATCTACTGCACAGTCAAAAGATATTTGCTCGTTTTCCACTGGCTTCTGGACATAGGAAAATATTGAAAAGTCTGACCAGGTTCAGACACATTCTGTCAATTTTATATATGTATCACAATGTATGAATCAGAATGATGTGATTTTTGATGAAAGGGTAAGAATGTTCTTGTGAATGAGTGTTAAAGTGTTACGATGATTTAACACCATTATGATTTTTTTAGGGTAGGGTCAGTAGGAGTGGTTGTCCACCAAAACTTGTATATGATGTATACTATTTTATGCTTCTCACTAGCTTCTGTTTAGCTGGATGAGTGCTCAGTTGGAAAGCTGGCTCCAGTAAATCTTTCCAATATGCAGAGTTCTGAAGTATGTGCCACATATGTGAACAAAGCCTGAAATGGCTGCCTTTATGCACTGGAGGGTAACTGCTTTCTTTATAATGAGAGGTGCTGGCAGTTTCTGCTCTTGAAGTGGTACACTTAATGAACTGCCAAGCCAGGAGTCCTGATTTTTAAAGAACTCTCTAAAATACTTATGTAAAATTGAATTGCCAAAGAAGTGTGTTTGAGTTCAGAAGAGACTGCTGTCAGGTGGAAAGCACACATGACTATTGCTCTAAGGATGATGTTCACATTTCTCTTTTGCTTAAGAATAAAGAATAAATCTCTTTGCAAATCACTGATTTTTCTATAACATTATGGGTCACTGCTTGCCAAATAGACTATGAAAAATTCTGAGAGTTTATTCTTGATTCAGCAGTGTTCCCAGCAGG